GTATAATGTGAGGGTTTTATACATTAAATAATTAAAATGTGTTGTTATTCATTAATTAGTTCAAATGATTTAAGTATTTTTAAAATTAAATGTCTTCAGATTGGCTGCTAAATGTAAAAATATCTATTTTCAAATAAAAACGCTTTTATCCTGAATGGCTTTTTAAAGTGTTCATTACTTTTACTTTTATACTTTAAGTAGTTTCAAAAGCAGTACTTTTATACTTTGACTTGAGTAAAATGCTTGACTTGATACTTCTACTTCCAAAAAAAAAAGTGTTTTTAAACCCTAGTATCTATAGTTCTACTTAAGTAATGAATGTGGATACTTCTGACACCTCTGCACAGGGGTGGCCAGGAAAATTACATCACATTTTACTTTAAAGTTTCTGCAGATCTTTGTGTTTTGATCATTTTATTATGTCCTTATACAGACAATGACTACGTTACAGTATAAACATGGGTGTCAGAACCATTTTAAAAGTGGGGGGACACACTGTTGGGGGGTCTGGGGGTCCTCCTCCAGAAAATTTTGAACAAAATAGATGCCATTTCCTGCATTCTGGTGTATTTTACCAGGTTGTTTAACATACTTTTACCTACACTTTACACTTGATTTAATAATTATTTCAGAGACATATTATTCATTAAACTAGTTTCATTATCCTGTTTTAAACTCACTGATGAAGGTGAGATAAGGTTAATTAATGAGACACAATTTATCATATCCAATGACTATAGGAGTGCTTTTTACTTTCATATTGTTTATTGATTTATTTTTAATTGTACCACATCATTGTGCCAAATAATGATGACCCTCAACTGTATGTTTGAAACTAATATTAATAATTTTACCCAATGAACAGGTGCAATATTGATAGCCACCAACAGTGAATTTAGAGGGGTATTCCACTATTTTTGAATTAGTGATAGGCCTACTCATAACCAAACACAGAGCATCATGCAGCCTTCAGAACATACAGTGGTTTGCAAAAGTATTCATACCCCTTGAACTTTTCCATATTTTGTCACATTACAACCACAAACATAAATATATTTCACAGGAATTTAATGTGAAAGACCAACACAAAGTGGTATACAATTGTGAAGTGGAAG